GTCTTCTCACTCTGATCTGAGCCACCTGTATGCAACGTTTGCAGTACCTCGTATTGTTCCAAGTGCACTAATCAGTGCAGGTGGTCAGACGTGCAACTGTGTGTCCACACAAATACCATGCACGCATACGTAGAGAGAACGTAGATGACGCGCGAATAAATCCGTGCAGATCGATCGGCGGTGTCAACGACCGAGCGATAGCATAAGATGCGCTATTTCGCATTTTATAGAATTGTTGTAAGAAACGACTACGTCGCTTACCTCGCTCGACATTCAAGAGTTATGCGTATTTAGAGAAACTAAACGATAATAAAATAAACTAGACTGCAATATGAATAAATGAACCGAGGGCCACGTACGATCGAAGCTTGATGCTTAATAATATTTACACGTAAATTTTAATTACATCTTCTAGTTATATAAACTGCGTCTCGAACTGCGCGCAGATTATTGCTGAACTTGTAACACAATCATAAACTGAAGTTGAAATAATAATAACACCAATTAAATTGATCGTCAATTTAATAATAATACTGACAAGTCTGACGTAATCGAAGCGCAGTTTATCCTAGCTGGAAGTGGTTATTTAAAGTTTACACACAAATATATTATTAAACCAAGCAGTATCTCGTAAAATTCAATTTTCGTGTTTGGCCCTTATTTATTTATTTGATTTATAATATAAGAACTAACGAGTACAAAAAAAAAGTGAAATTAAATTAATTGTTTATTAAGCGTTCTAACGTTTCCACGACCCCGATAATATTGCATAAATATAATTGCATAAATTATATCAATATATACAAAATACAAAACAAATATTAACATGCAGAAAATAACAAATAATTGTAACGTAATCATTAATGCAATGCACGCAGAGGACGATTTTTATTTGCTGCTGATATTTTTAACGTGGCTCGTAAAAAGAGAGCGATTATATATAACAATAGTACTGTCCAAACTCGAATGAAACCTGCGCGATACTGCAGACACGCAACATCAATGGTTTCTTCTCGTACACGTACACCGATTGAACGAACTCGTAACGAACGTGTGCGTTTAATTAACGACCGCCGATAGAGAACGAGCTTCTAGTTTCTATCTTATCTTGGACGCGGCCATGAATCTTTCGGTGGTGCGTTTTCAAGGGGATATAAATACAGCATATCTATACAAGTCTAATTACCAAGAAAAGATCAACAGGGAGAGGAGGAAAGAAATGATCGCGCGATCGAGAGGAAGAGAGGGGAGAGACTCGAGTTAAGTCGAAGGCACCTGAGTAATTCGCGATAACGACGCTATCTCACTGCTCTCCGTAACTATGCGATCTGCTGATTCCGCGATAACATCTCGATTTTAAAGCTTTCGAAAACGTGAATGAAGTCCACCTCTGTTTATCTTCATTATACATAATAAAAATAAACTAGGCATTCCTACGAAGTTGTCATTAGTAGATTTATTATAAAAATAAGGTAACTTGAATCACATTGCGCCCCCCCCCCTCTCTCTCTCTCTCTTTCACACACACACACGCACCTCATTTTTAATTTA